ATGAATGAAAGAAATGTTCTATGTACAAATGTATGTCTCCATCTGCTGGTCACTTGTGATTTACTTGATGAAATTTTATACTGCCTGTCATGAAAATGAATATTTACTTAGATAATCATCAAGTTATTCAATCATTATTTCTCTTTTATCATGGTGGTGACGTTATTTATTACTAGTGGTAGTGGTATAAGCTGTTGTGTATTATATAATAATAATAATGGTATTTAAATACATTTAATAGCATTAATATTTCTGTGAATATGAACACAGAAACACATGGTATACAGTGTGGAAAAACCGCATGAAAGAACATTAAAGAAAACTAATATGTTAAAACTGTATTTTTTTTTTTAAATCATGCATAATCTTGCACAGCTTTGCTCTGATTTGGTCGAGCCCTTACTGTCCTCATATTCATATTCAGATGAGCCACCTGTGTGCTGTCGATTGAAGACAAAAATGAGTAGTTGTGAAAAACATAAATACTTGGTATATACTGCAGACAAAGATCAACTTGCAGTTAAAGCAACTTTACAACAATTTTGTCATCTACTTGGGTTTTGTGCGTCCACTAGTGGACACTTATCAAACTACAAACGCATTACCAAACATTACATTTTAAAACCTTCTATATCCATAACAATATCATGCAGTACATTTCTAGCTCATAAAGAGACATGCTTGTTGTAAAATTGCACACTAAACTTGTTAATAACTAAACATTTATTTTTTTAACAAAATCAAATAGCATAAAATAAATGAAAATGTTTACCATAATACACAAACAATAAATTATTATTAAAAGCTCTGATCACTCATTACATTTCAATATGAAAAAGACAGTTGATTCACTATAATACTTTTGAGGTTGGCCATTGTTATGTCATGCTTTTATATGAAACACCTCTTGTTTTTTAGTGTCTTGTTGTCATTTGTTTCTTGCCCCCTTACATATGTACAGCGTTTTCTGTATACATTGTACAATTAGATGATGATCAGTAATAGCTGTCTTGTTCAGAATTATTGGGTGAGTTGCATAAAGCCTCTAGTTCTCCAGTTTTCTCCCTCAATGTATTTATGAGGCCAGACACACCCTGACTGTAGAGGAGCCGATCCTCTGCAACATTTTCAGCTGCCTTCATCACATCCTCAATGGCCTTTATCACAGGCTGCCAGAGGATGAATCGTTGTGTTTGTCTCTCCAGTACAGTGACTCTACCCCTAAGAACACTCACAGCGTTCACAGCCTTCCTGACCATTTCTTGAAATTCAGCTGTGAGCTCTAGATGCTGGTTCACCTCTTCAGTCTCCCTCTGAATTTTATTCAGCACCTTATCAGTCTCTTCAATCTCATTCTGTATGCTAGAGATCCTGGATTGATAATTAGACACTTTCTTGCTGTTCTCATTCACCTGAGACTCATTTTCTTTAAGCTCATCTTCAGCATCCCTGATAGCCCTTGAAGCCTCATTAATTAAACGTTCTCCCTCGCAGATCATGATTGAACCTGGAGGAAAAACAAGAAATCACATGAGCCACAAATGATGTTTAGTTGTACTCTTTAGGATGATGATAAAAGGTAGTAGTGGATCAAAGAGAATTTCTCACCAGAAATCCATCCAATAAATGGTAATGCAAGCAGTGCTGCCCCTGCAATCACTAGCCCATCACCTGTGCTCTTCCTGTCTTGATGTACTCTTACGGCATATTTTGCTGATTCTACACTTTTTTCTGCCTGCTCCAAAGCTGCTTTGGCATTCTTTAACAATTCTTCAGCAGAGTTCTTCTCAGTATTTAATTTATCATTGGCCATACATTTTTCCTTCTTCTGCTGCTCATAATTTCCTTTTTCTTTAGTAAATCGCTCTATGCATTCATCCAAAGATCCCAGTTTTTCTTTACTTATCGTCTCAGATTTTTCCAGGCACCGATCAGTGTTCTCAATATGTCCCCTGGTTTGTTTGTAATTGGAGCACATGTCAGTGGTTTGATCAACTTGAGCATCAAAGAGAGACTTGCAAATGTTACAGATAGAGAAAATTCCCTCATTAAGAGGCTCAACAGCTGCCTCCATAGACTGCAAATCCTTAACACTGTGTGAAGATGAGAAAAATTATTTTTAAAAAAATTTTCAAAAATATTAACAACAATATTTTGAGAACAGGGACTAGATTAAAGAAAAACGTAGATATTTGAAACAGTCTCGTTTCGGCTGTCATACTGAAACACAAAAAGAAAGAAAATGAATGATGTTGTGTGTCATTAAACCGTGCTGTTGACTTATTTAGCAAAACATTTTGGAGTAATTTTAAGTACTGTTTTATTTTAAATTCACAACTTAAAAACAAATTCAAGGAAACAAAATATTGAATCTTAACAAAGAAAAATGTTGTAAGGTAATGAGTTGATTGGTGAAGGATTAATTAGCAATATCACACTAAAATGATATTGTTCTCAATATCAGCACATAATGGTAATATTCTGTCATAAATTTTGAGTTCTTTGTTCTTTTGTTTTGTAATTATTCATTAGTCCTATCTTGTGCTTTGTGTTTCTGTTTCCTTTTTCCCCTGCCTGATTGTTCTCACCTGTTCCTTATAAGCCACATTTTTCTTTGTGCATTTAATGCTCTGTGTTTCTTTTGTTCCCGGAAAGGTCCTTCATTTGGTAGCCTATATGTGCTTGGTTCTGGTTTCCAACTGGATGTTATCTAGTGTCTTGTCCTGTTTCTATACTTGCTGTTAATAAACTGCATTTGGATGTACCCTCTCAAATTCTGAGACTCTCAGCCTTGCATATTCAGTAGGCTACAGCATGAGAGTGAGTCAGATGTTGCTTTGATAAAGCATATTCTCAATTTGTATAATTTCTTATCCTACAAGGAAAATAGTTCCAAAGGAAGCCAAAACGTCAAGTTTTACATGTCACCAACCAACACAGACTGAAAGTCAGTCTCGAATAGCTTCAACTATTGGAGTGAAAAGACAGACACCTTCCCCTCTAAACTGATCTCCTTTTGATGTAGTAGGTCTATATTTAATGTGCAGAGAAATCTTCAAGTTATAACCTTTCATTTTTGATGTCGAGGAATTTATAATGTTAACTCGTCCTTTAACTAAAATGCATGTTTTTGCATTCCAGATTTCTGAGAGCTAATGATGCAGGGTCTAGGCATGCTGCCCACCCCTATATCAAAACATATATATTGCACACCCAAATATTCCTTCTGACTTTCAATTACACTCTTTTTAAAACCTAAACATCCAGTACCTGAGTAAGACATGACCTAAAATGCAAATCCTCCTCTTTCTAAAAGTTTGTCAGGTTTATAACAACAGCTCTTTAGTACTTTAAACAAATCATTCCTTTGTCTACATTGTAAAAACAAAAACAAAAAAAACAAATCAAATTATAATGGTGCGAGTTAACGCAAAACATAACAAACATATAAGATGTGATATGAAATGACATGACAGTTGGATTAGAACATTTCTAGAGTAAGATACATTTTCATAATTGCAAACGTACCTGAAAGAGATACACATGCTTTATCTCTCTGTTTCTTTCTTGTCCAACGTAGACTATGCTTCGTCATTCATGAGGATGGGGTATTTGTGCGATGGAGTAGGCTATTAGATGCCTTTATAGTTTACCACCATAGAAATCCCCTATAGTTTTAATGGGACCAACTACTTTTGCGGCTTACTGTAAACCACGTGTTTTGCTATTATTTGGATATTCGCCAGCGGAGCACTTTAATACATTTTATGCTTTGTAATGCAACAACCGCACTGGTGCAAAGGATTTAGGGAAAACTAGGGGGTTTCTCCTTATACGGCTATAAAAGCATCTGCAGCTTCATCCATTCCATCAGACCGTTAACGGACCTGAACTTAAAGCATCTGAGATTTCGACAGGGTAAGGCAACTACTTTGGTTATTTTGCCGTTTTATAATGGATTATAATGAATATACATTTTATAATGAAAGCAGTTAAGTTGAAGTGTAGCTAGCTTGTTATAATTAAATTCAAATGATTATAACCTTATAGTTTTTAGAGTTTAAATATTTAGCAGAAAAGCGAAGAATTAGACCCACAACTAATTTGGAAATGCACATTTGCACTTTTGAAAGGAAAGGTAGGGATCTTTATGTTTATTTCTATTTTTCCTGCCTGAGCTAATAATCAGATGCTGCAGATTTAAAGTATTTACTGTAATTTGTTTTTTGAATGAGTGTTTCTGCCCTAGTGTTATTCTAAAGTTAACTGATTTATTGTTAATTAATAAATAAATGAATAAATTCATGCCAAATTATCTATACAGTTAGTTTTCAACCTGTTATTGTTCTGCTGGCAAAAGTTGACACCATTTCCGGACAACATTTTTCATTGCTCATATTAATTGCATATTCTGATCGCAAAGATATGTGAACTAATCTAATGTGATTATGTGATCTCTCTAGGATTACTGAGAACAGTATACTGCAGTAATTGTCTGGTTATTTCACTCTTATAATTTCCCCCTTACCATTCCTTAAAATGTATTGTCAAATAAATAAATATATGGAGACCTATCTAAAATAAAGGAGATAAAAGCCTATTAAATCTATGCACACTTCTTTAAATTTGTATTACTTTTTTTTATATATATAAAGTAGGACCTCTCCATAGAGCACATTGAATTGTATCCACCATTATAACATTATCTACTCATTGATGTTTTTTAATCATAAACGATCTTTTTCTCTAGCCAAGAGCAGTCATTGAAAAATGTGCTGTTGTTTTCAGATCTAGATGACCGAAAATCACAAAAAAAGCTAAATATTTTATGTTTTCTCAAGCAAAGCAAGTTTTGAAAGACCACTGAAAACACATATTCTTATATTTTTGGCGTAGACAAAGTAGGCCTATTTTGAAAGTGCACATTATTTGGCAAAATGCTTGAGCAGACTGATAAAAGTGAACATTTCTGAAGATTTTATTTCTCAGGTTTTATAGAAATAGAAAAAAATTGAGATTTGTATAATTCTTTTCTAATTTTGTCTTGGCTTTGAGCACGCAGGAACAGGAAAATCATGGATTCTGCAATTTCAAAATCTACTCAAAGCCTTACCACTGCTGAGGACATGAGGAATGAAACCAAACTTATGATGCAGCCTTATGCCAACTGGGAAGAGTATCTGACTCCAGCACCTCTATCCATAGCCATCCTGGGAGAGCTGGTCTTCATCTCTTCCTCAACAGATTTCTCCATCAATAAAAATTCCCCTAAAGATGGTTATAAATTCATCAGATACCCTGATTCCTTTCGCGCTTGCCTCATGCAAGTGTGTAACTCGGGTTGGTGGGCATTTAATGAGGCCCATACAAGCATGGATCAGATTCGCCTCCATACTGGCCAAGTTCCAAATTACATGAAGACAGCTGTGAAGATTCTGTTCCAAGGCGATGATGAAGTTGTCAAAGCACATCTTCCAGATCAGCTAGACAATATCAGAGTCATTGCAGATGAATGTCTGAAGTTGTCTGATGCAACTGAAAAGCGTTTCACTGATGTCATCAAAATCATCCAAGAGCTGCTGGAAGCGTGTGTGAATGCAGAGCACTTTTATGGGGAAGAGTTGGAAGCAGTCAAGAAGAAGCTGGAAGAGAGTAAACTGAGGGAGAAGACCGCTCTAGAGATCAATAAAAGGACTGAGAAGGCAATGAGTGCCATGGAGAAGGAACTGGATCAGGCTCATGAGAGCTACAAGAAAGCTCTGAATTCTCTCCCTAGTGGATGGGAAATGATTGGCATGGATTTTGTGAGTGGAATAACACAGACTGTCACAGGCCTGATTAATGGAGTGGCATCTGTTATTACTCACCCAGTGAGAAACATGTGTTCTGCAACAACAAAGATGGCTGATACTTTGAACTACATTAGAGATCAGGAAAGCACAAGAGATGTGATTGCTGAAATAAATGCATATAGTAAGTCTGCTGAAATTTTAACATGTGTCCAGAATATCCAGCAGCTGATGAATGTGGATAGTGAGGATGATGACATTGACTGGACAAATCTGTATGATCAGAAGAACAAATGTACAAAAAGTGATTGCATAAAAGGATATTTCAAAAGAATCACTGATAATTTAAAGGAAATCCCTAGCTGCCCCGCAAAGAAGCAAGCTAAGACGTTATGCAAAGATGGCATGGAAATATGCAGCCAGCTGGCAAAATATGCACCAGATGGCAAATGTGACAAAGACAAAAGTACTAAAATAATACAAGAGGTCTTGGATCTGATCAAGTCAGCTCATATTTTTGATTGCAAAAGCAAAGATATCACTAATTCTCCAGCCATTTCTCCAACACCACCAATGATGTTTAAAGAACAAAACAAGTTAGAGAACATGAGTGCTTCTCAGAAGGCCACGGAGAATGCACGATACAAGATAGAGCAGAGCCGAGCTCAGCTGAACAAGTCAAGAGAGACCTATGAGAAGTGTGTGGAGAACCTAGAGAAGAACCAGAAGGAACTAACTGAAATCCTGGTCTCTATGAGAAATTGTGATCTGAAAAAGATCGACTTCAATACTACCATAGAGATGCTGGTTAAAGGAATGGATGTCATGGGAAGAGTGAAGGAGCAGTGGGAGAAGATGGTTCACTTCTTTCAGATGGTTTCCAACATTGTGAAAACCAGTCTGAGCAAAACTCTCAAAAACTTTGTCTCCACATCAGAGAAAACACAAGCCCTCTCCTACAACGCAAAACTCTTCTCAAAAGATCTGCTCTACACTCAAGCCTTCCAAGCCTGTAACATCGCTAGTCTGGTCCATATGATCTCTGGAACATACACAGATGTTTCCAGCAAGTACCTGATGGACCGTGTCAGTTCACTGGGCAAACTGATGGCCATGGATAAAAGTAAACCAGAATTTGAGCATGAGCGAAAACTGCTCCAGAACGGCTGTGACGAGGCACAGAAAGGCATTTTAATGCTTGTCCTGCAGAATAAAGAGGAGTATGACCGGAAGAGCACTGCAAGACTAGAAAGGATTGATCGAGAATTGCTTGCCATTCTACCTGCTGCTCCTCCAGAACAAATCAAGAGAATTCAAGAGGTCGTTCAAACTGGATTCACTGAAGAAGAAGAAGCATCATACTTCTGAGAGATTTTACCAATATTTATTTTACAACCTTGCTACGTACAAAAATACTACCATAGTTAAGATTTAATCTTTGCTGTCCAGCATGTAATAGTCATGAGAGCTCAATTTAGATTATAATATTGCTAGAATCCAAAGCATAAAATGTATTATTGTTTTAATCAACAAACAAAGCAGATTCACTGAAACAAACATCAACTGAACAAGAAACATTATGGATAAAGGCAGTGTTTGCAGGAGTATCTGCATTAACAGAAGACAACTGATACTGAGATTTTGAAAAACCCTGTCAATCCAAATCAGACTAAGTGTATGATTTATGGGAGATTTTAAAAGCGGAGTTAGAAAAAGTGCTGACTTTGTTCCTGTATTTAAATTTTAATATCATGTTATAAGATCGTAATCATATTATATTTTCAGCTTGCAAATCATTCACAATTAAAAACACGCTCTGCATGATTATGCATGATCTTTATGTAAAGTGGAAGTGGCAGGAAATAAATGTTTTTTTTTATTTGCTTTTAAATTTAAGTATGTAGAATATATTTAGAAAGTTTTTGCTTTCTCTCTCCTTCCTTAATATTTAGTTAATAAAGCATTTCAGTTGGCTGTGCATGATCAATTTGTCCTTGAATGCAGATAAATAAATGTCCTTGAATGAAGTTAAATACATTTTTCCATGTACTGATGTTACAAAAAGCCTCCTTACTAAAAATAATAATAAATGCTATACTACTCTACTGTTTACTGTAGCTTTTTTTACCTACTACTACTCTACTGTTTACTGTTGTTTTGTTGTACCATACTGTATATCCTACTGCTTTTACTTTTCTAAGCCAACTTTTTGGACTTTACTGTATCTCACTAATGAATCACTTGTGTTCATTATATTGTATTCATCATTTGCAAGTCAAAATGAGTCTACTGAATGAAAAATACACATTATTCTAAAAGTCATCAAGTACTTAAGTACCCTTTGGAACAAATAAGATCACATTTACATTTAGACATTTAGCAGACGCTTTTATCCAAAGCGACTTACAAATGAGGACAATGGAAGCAATCAAAATCAAATAGAGAGAAATGATATACAAGTGCTATAACTAGTCTCAGTTAGCTTAACACAGTACACATAGCAAGTTTTTTTTAAAAAATCATATAATAAATAAAATTGCTTTTGTCGGAAGAAGTCAGAAGTCAGAAAGTCAGAATTATAATTGTATAATAAATAAAAAGAAAACAAATAGATAGAATGCAAACAAGATTAGAGAAGCAAGTGTTAGTTTTTTTTTGGAAAGAAAACAAGCAGTTAGTAAATAAATAGAGTGCAAGTCTGAAAGAGGCAAGTTTTTATTTTATTTTATAAAGAATAGAATTAGAATAGAGAGTGCTAGAGTTAGAGGGTCAAATAAAGATGGAAGAGATGTGTTTTTAGCCGATTCTTGAAGATGGCTAAGGACTCAGCTGCTCGGATTGAGTTGGGCGCCATTAAACATATTCCATAATATTTGGAATTGATAAATATTAAGATTAGGCTGTTTTTAAAGCTGGGGCTATATAGCAACAGTTTTATTATTATTATTATTATTATTATTATTATTATTATCTTGAGGTATATATATATATATATATATATATATACACACAGCTAACCATGCGAAGTAACTAACATTTGGGTCCAACAGTGAATAAATAAATATTTATTGTCAATCTATCGTAGGCTATATCATGCTACGAGAGTTTACCAAACGTGATAGGTTCCCTTGCATTCACTCCACCCTTTGCGTCGTGGATAGTCTCTTCTCATTGGCTGATTTCTCTGGAGCCCATCCTCGTTCGATTACTGGAACCAATGGACGTTCGTGATGTCATATGAGCTTTTGCGTACACGCCCCAACAGATCATGCGCAAAGCACTTCGGTACTTGACGTTTAAAATGAAGCCTTCAGACTGAAACAAATAAACGAAAAAACTACAATATGAGGTACGCCTTCACTCTTATGCGCCGTCTTGACTTTTCATACTGCAGGTGAAATAAAAGCACAGCACAGACAAATGTGTGTGATCAAGGTAGTATGAGCAAGGACAGATTCGTAATGGTAAGTTAAAGTAAACCTTACTTGATAAAAGTGTACCATGAATCGTTTAATCTCAAAAACTAATGTTAATGCTGCTTAGCTAAGCTTAAGCGATCATGTTTACATTGTTAATGTGTGATCGTGGTAAGTAATATTCCTCCTGTTATTTCCTAAATTTGGATATAATGAATTTAGCAGTGTTCCTTAAAAAGCTGTCACATACTGGAATAGCAGGCATGCTAAATCAGGCATTTACTACTGATTAAACCCAATGCATTAGCACTGTTACGTTAAGCGGTCTGCAGATTTTTATGCATGTACAGTATGTATTTTATTTCCATATTTTCCAAGTGATACACTAATCCCAATCAAAATATCAAATGTTTGCCTGTTTCTGATTTATGTCTCTGTCATCACACTATATTTGTGTGCTTCTTAGCTTAAGGGCGACAGCAGTAGTAACGGTGTCCAGCAGAAAGGCAAGATGTTGTCAGATGCTCAGCTCTTTGATTTGGAGTTTGAAAAGCTGGTGTCTGAACTTACAGAGCAGGACTTCACTGATCCATTTCTCACTGATGCGCTCAACAGACTCCGAGAGGTAGAGCAAACCTCTCACAGCCTGTTTGGGGTGATGAAATCCACATTAAGACAAATAGTGAAGATGGCACACAAATCATTTGCAGTTTAAAACTCTAGAACCGATCTGAAACCATTCTGAAACAACGCTCTGTTGAATTAATTTTATTATTTGTCAGTTTGGCTTTTCTTTTGTATTTAAGTATAATTTTTTTAGGTGCTTCGGTACAATGCTCCTGGAGGCAAGAGAAACCGAGGCTTGTCTGTGATTGGTTCGCTACGGGAGCTGGTCTCTCCTTCTGAACTGCCACCTGATGAAGTTCACAGAGCCCTTTTGGTTGGATGGTGCATTGAACTGGTGTGTGAAATTAATACTTTTAATTGACCTTCAGCGGTTACTGACAATGCAAGTCGGCTCGCTCACTGGTGTACAAGATGATTTTTGAATAAATTACTTCAAATGCAGTTTGTCATAGTTTATCATCGCACAAAAATCAGAAATAAATATGAAATAATCCACACATAAGATGAAGTCAACATATTATCTTGGATGAAGCCCATTTGCTTTTAGTAGCCTATACATTTACTCTAACTTTACATAGAGATTGACAGAGGAAATAAACCAAACGTTTTGTTTTCTCCCCAGCTTCAGGCATTTTTCTTGGTGGCTGATGACATTATGGATGCATCCCAGACAAGGAGGGGTCAACCCTGTTGGTATAAGAAGGTAATTGATTGATTAATTTATGCTTGTTTTGAGATATGTGCTGATGATGCATGATGATGAGTGTGTATTGGTAAACAAATGTGTATATTGACTGGATATGTTAGAATTATAGTAGTCAATTTAGTTCCATCCATTGAAGAGGAACCTTTTTTAAAACCAGTTATCTAGTCATCCTATTACACATTATGAAAATATTGTGATTTTATAGCAATGTAACATTTTGTTCTCTTGATATTAAGCTTGGGTATGTCTACTAATAAAAAAAAAATTATAATAATAGTTGTTGTTGTTTATTATTATATTTTTACTGTTAATATTTAAGTTTGTAGACGATTTTATAGCAATGTAACATTTTGTTCTCTTGATATTAAGCTTGGGTATGTCTACTAATAAAAAAAAAAATTATAATAATAGTTGTTGTTGTTTATTATTATATTTTTACTGTTAATATTTAAGTTTGTAGAGATTCAGGGATGGACAATTATTTTAATTTACAATAGTTGTATATGAGGAATAAGTATTATATCATTAAGTTTATCTTTATTATATTATATTAGTTTATATCAGTTGTGTGGAATATTTAATATCTGCCTGAATCTATGTTCTTTTTCTATTTGTCAGGAAGGCATTGGTCTGGATGCCATTAATGATGCTTTTCTCCTGGAGGGGGCGATCTACCGCCTTCTTCGCAGAAATTGCAGAGGACAGCGCTACTATGTCCATCTGCTCGAGCTTTTTACTGAGGTAACACACCCAAAAGCTTCATTACACAGTACAGCACAGTACCACATGTGGGCACATTTTGACTTATTATTGCTCACTGGCAGCTTGTTCATAAAAATGTACAGACTGTTAGGCAGTTTCTATTGTTTAATAGCAGTGTTTCCCCTGCCATTATATTAGGGGGCGGCCCGCCCCTTGAAGGTCAAGTTAATTTTATTTAATTATATTTTCTCTATAGCGCTAGATCACAACAGAAGTCATTTAAAGTAACCTTTACGATAGAACATGTCTATACCTTGTTTTTTTTTTATTCAACAAACTAAATAGCCTTATGTTTTTTTTATCTTATTTACACGACGGCATGTCATTTCGGTCTCTACGTTATGGTCGCGCTTTCTGTATCACGCACAGCGGAGTTCCGCCTCGATGCGCACACACACACGTTTCCCCTGCCATTATATTAGGGGGGCGCGGCCCGCCACTTGAAGGTCAAGTTAATTTTATTTAATTATATTTTCTCTATAGCGCCAGATCACAACAGAAGTCATTTAAAGTAACCTTTACGATAGAACATGTCTATACCTTGTTTTTTTTTTTATTCAACAAACTAAATAGCCTTATGTTTTTTTTATCTTATTTACACGACGGCATGTCATTTCGGTCTCTACGTTATGGTCGCGCTTTCTGTATCACGCACAGCGGAGTTCCGCCTCGATGCGCACACACACACACGTGCGTGCACACACAAGTGAGCACACTCCCACTCCCACTAGTATTTGTAAATATTAAGCTGCAAAACGACTATTTAAATATGAATTCTGCGTGTCTCTGTGTTAATGAATGGCGCAGACGTGCGGTTTTGTTTACCACTCGTACTGAAGCGCGCGTGACGCTTGCAGTGATTTTAAATTCTGCCGTCTCACTAACGAGGACATAAATACATGAACAACTTCTCCAGAACTGCTCTGAGAGTC